GCGGGCGGGGGCCGCCCCCCCCGGGGCGGCGGCCCCCCCCGCCGGCCCCGCGCCGCCCCCTGCCGGCAGCGCTCCCGCTGCCCGGGCTGCGAGCCCTCCCTGCCCGGGCTGCACCCCGCTCAGCCGGGCAGCGAGCCCCCCCTGCACCCCCGCCTCCCTCCCGGGGGAAGGCGCAGTGTCCCAGAGGCGCTCTCCCCGCTGGACGGGCTCCCGAGAAGCCCTCCTCGTCGGGCGGGGCTCCGGTCTCGGATGCACCGCGCACGGCTCAGCAGCTCCCTCAGCGCTTAACCCGTGGCCCTGGCCGGTGTGGGGGACCGCTCTCATGTCAAAATAAAGGTGACGAACCCACAGGGTGACGGAGCTCTTGGAGAGCGGCGCTTTGTTTTGAGATGACTAAGTATTGACATAACCCGCCCTCCCCAAGACATCAGATGCTCTTTGAGGCTTCTACCTACTCGCAGGGCGGGGAAATACATAGTTGCTCGCTACTCACGGGAAGTTGACCGTGTCTGTTTTGAACGGAGGAGAACACAAAATAAATGACTGGAAGCCCAGGGCAGGGAGCTGCGGGGCTGGGACAGCTTCCCCGAGCGGTGCCGGGCGGGGCGGCCCGGGGAATGACGGCGAGAGCCCGCGGGGAAGCGCCGCATGTGCCCTTCGGTGGCAGCCGCACGGAGCTGCTGCGTGGTGCTTTCAGTTCTTGCTCTTTCGAGAGTGGGGGCGGCGGCGGTGGGGTGGGAATCGCTTCTTTTTATTTTCTTTGGAGGCAGCCAAGTGCAATGGAACAGAACGAGGTTTTCCTGTAAAGAAAGGAACTGCCTCTATCCGCCGCCGCTCCGGTCTTACCTCGTAGCTTTTCTAACAAAGTAAGAGCGGGTGAAGTCGCCGTGATCGTCCAGCCACGCTTCCACCGCTTCCTGCTCCGGCTCGGGGGGAGAGCAGCGCTCCATGCTCCCGCCGCCGCTCTGCCGCCTCCCTCCGCAGCTGCCGGCGCTGCCTCCCCCGGCCCGGCCCGGCCCGGCCCGCTCCGCTTTCCAGCTGCGGTGCCCGGAGCTCCCACCCCCGCCTACGTCCCGCTCCCAGGTGTGCGGGCAGCAGGAAGCCCGGCCCGCGGCACCTCAGCGCATCTCCGGCCCGGCCGCCGGTCCCGCAGCGGGCAGAGCCGGCTCCACCTCCACCGCGGCCCCGCCTGCTTCGAAAAAGTGGTAAATCGAGTGTCACTTTGAAGGGTTTCCCTGTCGGGTATCGATGTGTGTCTCTGACAGACCTCAGCCTGGGTACGGGTACTAAAGCTCTGGCTTTACCGTCCTTCATGCCTACAATGCGGCTGTTAGATCCGCTTTAGACTCCGAATAAGGACAGCCTAGCTTTGAGGATGCTCAACACACAGCTCCTACTTTCTCAAATTTAGACAGCTGGGACTGCGATTTTGGTTAAAACTGAGCACCGCTTTCATGTATTGTAGTTCCATTCTATGATGTGCACGTGCACACATAATAATTTATACTCTGCATTCACAATACACCTTTCACAAGGTCTGATGCGTATCTATGGCTTCCGGTATTGCCACACGTGCAGTGTCTTTGAAGGTAAGATAACAAATAGCAGAATGTTTCAGGGGAAGGGAATTCAGAGTCTTGTAAATTATTCCCCTGTGTAGTCAATTGAGAGCTTCATATTTTGTACAAAATATTTTGTGCTGCTCTAAACTCCCTTTCAGGTGTGTACAGACTCCTGATACAGAGATATATCTCCTATGTGTAGAGAGGTGGGGTTCTGCAGCTTGAGAAGGAGCTGCAGCAGGAACTTCACAGCAAAGGGATTAAGAGCCTGTCCATGAGCTCGAGGGAAAAGTTTTATCTTCTCTGTCTTTGTGTCACATCTGTGTGTAGCACTGACTTGGACACGTGTGTCTTGGCTGTGAGAGTTTTTGTGTAATAGGAGGCACACAGAAAGGGAGGTTTTACATGAACATTACTCTGTTGTAAAGGGAATCTCAGGGGAAATGTTGTGCATGGTGACCAGAGAGCAAATGTGAAGATAAAGCACGAGCCAGTTATACACAGCACGAGTCAAGCTGCTGTTCAAGGCAAAGACAAATCTTTCAGCAGGGAAATACAGAATTAGCAAGCAAACTGCACAGACAGATGTCATGGCAATAAGCGAAGCAGATGTTTAGTGCCAAAACCTGGAAAGAGTGGTAGGTTAGAAAAAAAATTAAAAAATAAACCTATTGTGAAAATCACAGATTTCTGCATTAACCATTTCATTCCAGGAAAAGAGTTCTGATGCTACAGCAGACATGGCAGTTAAAGCTCCTAAACTAGGTAGAGGTTTTGGAAAATGACACTATGTTAAAATGGTTAAGTATGTAAAACATACAATTATAGAATGCAGATTTTATAAGTAATTGAAATGCCATTCACTGAATGGTCTTACATGGAATATTGATCATGGTACTGCTCGTCCAGTCTTGAAAAGCAATTGCAGAATCATCAGAGGTGATCTAGACAGGAAAAACAAGGAGGACCAAACACATGGAAATATCTTTTTTGTAAAGAGGCAGAAAGAGTTTGTTTGCAAAAGGAGAAATACAAAGATATAATTTAATTACTGGTATTTAAAAAGTAGGATAGTATTTTCTCTCTGTCTCATAGGAGAGTAACAAGGTAACGGTCAATGCAATTATGTCAGCTGCAATAGATAGCGTCTCATTTCATGTAATTAGGAGTAGCACTAATAGAAATAAGCATTTATCCTGTGCTAACATCCAGTACACCCCAGTCAGGAGCAGAGGTTGCTCCAAGGAGTACTGTAAACATGTAAGATTAAATACCAGGCCAGCTGAGGTGCATCCAGCAGCATCCCTTTACTCCACATCACAAGGAACAGGGACCTGTGGCTGCAGCTGCTGCTGCTGGGGCCCTGCAGATAAGAATCAGTGAAGCCAATGCAAATTATTATCTTCCTGTGAATTCAGTGGCAAAGCAACAGTTCAAAGGATTGCTACCCAAGCAAAGAATAGCATAGTTTTTCCCAAAAGAAATAAAAACAGAACAGCTGGGGGGAAAAAGGGATGTCTTCTCCTTATCCGATGAATTTCCATGAATAATAATGAACATGTTGTTTTCATTTTTAAGGTGACAGGAGGGGACGAAGGCCAAGCATAACAAAGAACGAATGGTCAAAGTGGAAAAAGTCTTCCATAACTTTGGCTTCCAAAGTGCTCAGAAAAAGCTCCGTGTATCTTAGCTCTCGCCCAGCTTTCCAGTTTGTTTCCAGAGCTCAGAGGATAGAATTGATGTGGAGTAGCTCTAAACCCAAGAAGGGCTTGTAGTAATGACACACAAATAAAAATGTCCAGTTCAAGTTTAGAAGCTGCTTGAGAGCTCAGTGTTGAAGCCAGGAAGCTTTTCCATCAGCAGGCCATGCTATTGCTTGTGGATGGAAAATTATTTAGCTGAAATCTTTCATCTGATGTTTTGCAAATATTTTCATGTAAGGAGATAAAAAAGTGGGGGGAGGGGTTTTTTGTATGTTCAAGGCACATAAATTAGAAATTCTGCTAACTCAGGATAATTAGTAAGAATAAATAAGGAAGTATGTAACCAGAGGAAAAGTATTTATGTGATAATTTATGCTCAAAGAACTCTATATTTATTTAAATTTATTTGAAATTAATATAATTCTATTTAATTTCCCTTTAAAAGAGAAAAAATAACATTTCAGATGTCAACATTGTTAACTTGTCTGACTTATTCATTAGATGAATTGGAGCAGCATTTAGCTTTGCTATGAAGTGGGAATTGGCTGTCTTTCTACCATCTCTTTAATCTGGAAAACAGTTGGTACATTTTGGCTTCTAAATCAAGTTTAGGACTGTACTATATGGCCAGTGAAGTTAGAATATGATAAGGCAGAGGAAACTATTCCACTTCTTTATTAGCCAGCACTTTCACATGCATCCAGTGGAAGAATCCTAATACTAGTGAGGCAAGTTTCCATTTCCATTCCGTTGCATAAGGAGAGTGAAATAATAACCAAAATCCTATTATTTTGAAATCTAATCGTTATTTAGTGATGAAAATACTAAATGATGAGAATGTCTTAAAAGTTTATTCTCTCGGCTCTTTCCAAATAATTGCTGGAAATGTTTCCCCAGAGCTGCTCAGCAATTGCATAACCTGCCCTCTCCTCTGGGATAACAGTGCATACGTCCTACAGGAAGCCATGGAAAATAGTAGCTTCCTCCTATTTTGATTTAAATGTGATTGAACATTTGCGTCAATCAAAGTACCAGGAGAAATTATTGTTCACGTCAGGAAAGCAGCAGCTTCTCAAAGCGGTTTGTAATGCATGGATATTTGTCTGGAAAACACTGTCAAACTTTATCTCCTGAGAAATGTAAGTTAGGATTTGAGTTTAACATATTAGCATTTGATATGTAAATCTATCCATGTGCCCAAATTTTAACTTCTGATTTCTATTGGAAATCTCCAGATAAGTTGAAAAGCAAATTGTTAGCAAGTCTCTCTCTTTTTCTCAGCCTTCTCTCCTTTAAGTTAAGTAGTGCCACATCTTTCAGTTCTTCCCTGAACATCATGTTTTCCAGCCCTCTGGTCATTCATTTTCACTTTGGGCATTCCCCAGGTTGTCTCTCCCATCCCTGCAGTGTCTCACCAAGCTAAAATGAAGTAATCCAGCTGAAGGTTGATCAAATCTCAGTGAAGTGGAAGGAATATTTTGGGTTCCTTGCAAACTCTGCTCCTGCTAATACAGTCACCCTTGCTCGTGCCTTCTTGGCAACAGCCTGATATTTTTGACTTCTGTACTATCTGTTCCCTTTTTTAATATATACTTGCCATGTACTCAGGTGCTGCCTGTGTGTTTACTTCTGACTAACTGCATTTTCTTGCTCTTGGACATTTTTAATTTCATCCTGTGCTTGCAATACGTCTCCAGTTTATCAAGACAAATTCTATGCCTGTCCTGCAATGTGCACTTGGCCAAGCTTGGCGCAAGTTTGCTGAAAGGCACCGGTCTGGGCAGTGATGATGGGGTTTGATGCAGGTAGGTGAAAATGTAGGTGGATAATGTGTACAAAGGGTTTGGTGGATTTTGCCTGGGAGGTGGTGGATAAGTAGGAAATGTGTAGGGCAGATTCATTCCAGGCCCTTTTCAATGGCATATCAAACCTTTTCTTTATTTACAATGATACTTGGCTTATTTTTAAAAAGCTTCTTAGAAATTGCTTAGTAATTTTCAATTAGCAGTTGCTCTTATTAGTACTTTTACTGGTAATTGGGATTTTGAAGTGAAGTATTTGCTTTATACCTGGTCTAACAGATGATATTGAATCAAATTATAAGGGGCTTGTTTTCCTAGTTGTGGTTGTTTGGAGATGGAGATTCAATGGCAAATGATATAAATGAAAAAACAGTCAGATTTTTTTCCAAGTACATGCCACTGCTATTTGGGCATTCACTCTCCTGTTTCTGTACTCATATACCACAATCCTCTGTTGAACTTCTCACATATTAACCTAACAACTGGAGTTTCTGAAGGCCCCCTATCATCACAAATTAGTCTCATTTCTCTCGGTAAAATCCTTGGTTTTCTGGAGCTGTTTTTTCAGGACATTCTCCCAGTAATGATCTTTTTGAAACCACAGAGAGGTGTAGTAGCACCAGCTCCTGTGTTGTGGTTTAATCCACCTTGGGCAATAAGAATAATTTTGCCTACACTTTGCTCTGGGAATGTGTCTGCTTGGGCCTATTACTTCTATTTCTTTCTTTTCACAGTAGCTCCTTTTCAAAAATCATTTCCTATGTTGTAAATGAGATTTTCTTTGTTCCTTTAATGCAAAACTTAGATTTCTCTGTGTTAAAATATAGGTCAGACCTCACAAAGTATTCTTAGTTGGTCTATATTAAGGGCCTGCCCTTCA